GAGGCGGGAGGATTGTAAGTTCCAACCCAGCGTGGACAACTTGGCGCAACTTGTCTCAAAATAAAAGATAAAAATGATTGGGTGTAGCTCAGTGGTGAAGGCCCTGGGTTCAATCCCTACTCCCAAGGAGGGAATAAAAAGCAGCAAGTGCATGAATTACAAATTCAGTCACACTTACAGAACCCACTGTTCATTGCAGTCCACAAAAAATGGTTCAATGCATATGAACCTGAAAAGGCTCTTTCCCAAAGGTGCTGAAAGTCTGGGTCCTCACTGCCCTGTGGCTCCTTGCTGGCAGAAAACACAGCCAACCCCAGAAATCTCCCTGGGTGCTAGACAGGGGTGTTGCTCCTTTACTCAGGTACTGCCTGCCATAGCTCACCACGTGGGAGGCCCACTTGTTACTCCCAGCGAGGTTAGGGAGGTAAAGCGACCCTGCAGTCACACCTGAGCACAACCCGGCCCTGAGGCCCGACGCCAGGCCATGCTGTGGAGGAGCAGATCCCGTGTTCCCCACACCCTGGGAGGAGCAGCATGTTAAAACCACTCGTGGGGACTCTTGTTTTTCAAAGGGGACCTCTGTTGTGTGAGAAATGTGAGAAACTTTGCTCCAAGAGTTGAGTGATTTCAGGTCAGGAGTTTTCTGTTTCTCATTTCAAAGACTGGTTCACTCTTCCCTCCGTTTTCACATAACTCGGTGTTGTTTTATGCAGATCTGGGGGTGGAGACCAGGGTCTTATGCACACTAGGCTGGGGCTCTACCGCCAAGCTGTACTTTAGCTCCACACAACGGTAGCATTTTTAAAAGCATAACATCATTTTCTCTCATCGGAAGGGGTAGAATTCTCCCTTACATACTTTTCACCAAGTGATTCCATGATGACTCCTGACACCCGGTACAGCACTGGGGTTGCACCAATAGCGTCCACACGGGAAAGTGATGCTACTGCATAACTAATATGGTTTCTGTAGGGAATAATATCATAACGGAGGGGAGACCTCAAGGTAAGGAGGCCCTGGAGGTAGTATTTAAATATCTAGAGAAGTTCAGTCTTTAACATACCTCCGCTCCTGTCACGTAGATGTTGACCTGGAAAAGGAAAGAGAAAAAATGATAAAAAGACTCTGAAGGTATACCCTACGTCCTTTTTCCGTAACAGTTTCCTAAGCCCAGTTTACAGTGTGATCTTCCTATGAAAAGTAAAATTGTCACTGGCAAAGATGGACACCAGATGGGCTTCTGAAGATCTTTAGCAGTTGAGACTGAAATGAATCTATTTTGTACTTTACGTGGTTAAAATTTAGCAAATATTCATATTTAACTTGCAGTAATTTCTTAACTCGTAAGCTAAGAATGTTTCTTACGTGCATGAGATATGTGGAGTGATTGAGCTTTGTGCCCATTTAAGATGGTAATACTATGGTATATAATATTTTTAACTCTGAAATGGTGAAAAGTAACTGTGAGTCATAACGAATGATGTCACGCCGGGTGTTGGCCGGGTGAGCTTTTACCACAAGTCAGCTGTCCAGGAGTCAATTCTGTCTCCCTTTGCCAAGAAGACCATTGATTCACACAAGATCTTAAAAAATATATCCTTGCACAGTGTAACTGCCCTGGATTATTTACTAGAATTTAGGTTGCGTAATGTGTTTAATTCTCTAAATATAAATTTGTTTTTTCTCATGCAAACTTTCTCAGGAAGCTCACAGGTTCTTTCTGTGAGGTGACTTAGCAGTTGCCTTCTGTTTCCCATCGTCTGACTCTGTCAGGAAGGTCAAGGAAGATTCTTGCTGTGCATTATTTTCTTCCCTTTTTTTTTTTTTTTTTTGTACCGGGGATCTAACTGGGTCCTTGCGCTTGCGAGACAGGGAGCAGAACCGCTGAGCTAAATCCCCGGTCCTATTTTCTTCCAATTTTAAAAGGTGTATTTTAGTTCATTTATTTATTTTTTAGTTTTTTTGAGACATTTTCTCACCCTGGGTTCCAGGTGAATGTGATCCTCCTGCATGCTGGGGTTACAGACGAGTGTACAATACCCAAAGCATTAATTTTAATCAGTAAATAAACCCATATATAGTTTCATTAGACATTTTGTGGAACTCCCTGTATAGTTACTTTTCTCTCGTTGCTGAGACAAAATACCCAACACCCAAAGTTAGACAGGAAGGGGTTTATTTGTCTTGCAGTTCACAGAGGTTCAGTCTATAATCAGCCAACTCCAAGGCAAGGATGGCAAACAGGCAGGGCAGAGCAGAAACAACATGGTGCACACAGGGCAGCAAGGGTAACCGCAGAGTTAACAGCGTCTCCCTGCCCCTTTTATCTTATTCAGACTACTTAGGGCGGGCAGCACTCACACCCTTAATCCTACTGGCCCTGAGCCTAGTATTGCACCATGAACCAACTCCAGCTTCACACTCTAGATCCAACCTATGACCACACGAGGCGTTGGTGGGGACAGCTAGACCCCAACCATAACATTCCCATTATCCCATCTTTACCCTACCATGTTTTAAAAATAGGCAGGAAAATAATATTTACGACTAGTTATCCTAATCAGTACAAAAGTGTCTCCTTTTAAATTTAGTTTACAGTAATTTCAAAGGCCACCATGGCGCAAATCTAATCCCAGCCCTAAGGGAAGCTGAGGCAGGAGGATTGCAAATTCAAATCCCACTTGGGAAACTTAGTAAAACCCTGCCTCAACATAAAAAATATATAAAAAGGGCCAGGGTTCTAGCTCAGTGGTAAAATGCACTCTGTGGGTTCCATCCCAGTACCCCCCCGCCCAATTACAACAGTTCAGAGTGCTTGGAAAGTAAGGTAAACTTAAAGCAGACCATATGTTTTACATATTTATGATTTCACAAGAGACGAATGATTTCAGTACTAAAGATTTAAAATTTTTTCTCTTTCACTGGGAGCAGTACCACATGCATATAATCCTAGCAACTTGGGAGGCTGAGGCAGGAGGATTGCAAGTTCAAGTCCCATCATGGCAAGTTAGTGAGACCCTGTGTCAAAATTTTTAAAAATTAAAAGATGTAGGCTAGTGCAAAGGTCCTGAAGGTCCTGGATTCAATCCCCAGTGCCAAACAAACAAAAAATAAATAAATTGTTTAGTACTGATTTTTAATGACTCCATTGATAATATTACTTTCAAAAACTAGTTAAATAAAATAAACCAAGTAGTTCTCTCAGACATTCCTGACAGAAATGAATTATATGGTACTGAATTTCATAATATACAGGAACATAGTTTTTTAAAAAATACCCAACTTTTCATCTAAACATGTCTTTGGGTGTCTTTTCCCCACAGCTAATCTCATTTTAAAAGATCTGAGCCCAGCCAGGTTTTATAGTTGCACCCTAGGAAATTCAGCAACTTTACCTCTTTATCCTTCAGGGTTATTCACCAGAGCCAGGTTCATTTAAACCAGAGGGTCTCAGAGGTGGCCTGGCCTCCCGAAGGCCACTTAGCATTTCTTGCACTGCCAAGCCCACGGAGAGAGGGGACTCAGAGAGCAGACTGGGCTTCCTCGTCACCTGCCTTATCCTACGGAGTCTGGGGCTCTGGAGAACACGGAATGCTGGGCACACTTCCTGTGCCGGGAGAGGGGGACAGAAATGCAGGGTCTTGGGCCCCCCCAGATTTCCCGAATCCCAGTCTGCCTTTGCCTAGATGCCCAGGTTGTGTGCATGTGCATGAGAGTTGGAAATAAACTAATCCGGAGGCCAGGGTGTAGGTCAGGGAGAATGCTGGCCCAGGTTTGAGGCCCTGGTTTAGAGCCGCAAAAAGTGAAAAAGTGCCACTTTGGAGGAAGGCTTCCTATAGTATTTCTTTTTTTTAATGCCTACTTTTGAAAACCTCGGTTGTCTTGGCATGCTTTGGGTTTGAGCCGTTTTCTGGGCCGAATTTCTGTTCTTTGGCGAGGCCCCTGGACTGTCCCAGTGCCCTGTGCACAGCCCCCCGCTGACCAGCTCTTTCTCCTTCCCAGTCCTGACACCGCCCTCCCCGAGGAGCAGCCACATTCCGGCTCCCCGTGCGCCCCGCTCCACTGTCTGGCCAAGCCGCCCTACCCCTAGTCTCCATCGCCACGACGACACTGGGCCGAAGGTTCCGTAGCCACACAGGACACTGCCCGAGACCAGCGGTGTGTTCTTCTCGGCTGTAGGTGTGCAGGGGGACCCACGTCCCTCACTCTGGAGGAGGAGCGATGCCGAGAAGATGGACACAAAGCTCAGACCTGGGCTGATAAAACACTTCGTGGTTTCTCTGGGTCACAGAAACACTGCAATCCGACGGCTACAGTTCAGTCAAACTAGAGAGAAAGAAAGAGGAAGCAAGTAACTCAGATGGCTGGCTCTACCTTGATAGCGTAAGAAAGACCTAAGCCAATGTAACATACAAATATTGCAAGATCAGCTGTGCTCACACCACATTTGGCAAAAAAAATTTTTTTTTTTTTTTTTGGTCATTGATACTTGGTTTTGTACTTTCTTTGCTACATGATCTATGCCTATAAGAATAGTTTCTGTGAGAGATAAATTTAATTTCATTTATTTTTCAGATAAACATAGTTTGCTCAGTTCAATACGAGTTTTAATTTGGTTCGAAGTCTAGAACTGGCCGGACTGTGGCCATTTTTCTTGCACACAGTGATAATTGCATCAGAATGCTAATGATAGTGTATTTTGCTGCTACCCTGGTATTGTTTATGCCCTTATTTTCTACTCAGTAGCTGATTGGCTGCTGGGTTTTCTTTTTGTTTTAACTAGAGTTCTTCACTGGACATCATTAAATTAGTCTAAGAAAGAGTCTTAAGTTCCGGTTCCTGGACTTACCCAAGCTTCGGCGGCACTCAAGTCTCTAGGTTGCCCTGAGTAGATGCACTAGTGCTGCTTGTGCGTGATGATGTTAAAGAAAGCTAAACCATCTGAGGGGAAGAAATGCTGTTTATTTAGTGACCAGAATTGCTTTTTCTTCCACATTCAGGGTCCTACTATGAGTCTTTCCTGCTAACAATATCAAGAACAAATCTTCGCCACCTGCCTCACAAGCGCAAGGACCCGAGCGAGTTCGATCCCTGGTACCAAAAACCAAAAAAAAAAAAAAAAAATCAAAAACAAAAAACAAAAAACAAATCTACACATAGATAAAAGGTAGCTTTGGCTAGTTAATTTACATGGACAGTGTTCAGATTTTGATTAAAATTGTATGTTTTGTTGTTAGTTTTTTTTTTTCAGAATGAATCTTCCTTGCCATAAGAAAGTTTTAGATAATAAACCTTAGCTCATTGTCTACTTCTGACAAACACTCAGGTGCCTACAAATCATTATATTATATTGATGATAAGACATGTTCCTAGTTAATTTACGGATTCTGCTAGGTAACTTTTATGACTTGATTTGTGGCAGTGGATTTTTCATAGCAAAATTTATTTTGCACATGATATGACAAACAAGGAAAATGGCTACTTGGGCTGAGAAGTCTCTTGGGCTCCTTCCCTCTCAAGGGCTCCTAGCCCCGATTCCTTGTCTTTGTCAGTAGCCTTAACTCATTTAAAACCGGAAAGGTTTCACCTTTCTGCGTATTGGTAACTTCTCTTCCGAATGAATATGGCCGTCGCTGTCAGCGCACAGAACGGTTAACAGTGGGGCGCATTCGTGGTGACCCGGAGCCGCTCGGCTGCGCAGTGCAGGGTGGTGCCCGGGGTGCCCATCGCAGGGCAGCCACCAAGCACACGCAGAAGCTCTGGGCAGTCCTCACCCATCAGGAAGGGTCGCCGTTACCAAAGCAACCGAGAGCTTTTGTGTTCCTCACGTGAGTGCGGTCTTCACCAGTGTCATTTCATATGTAATTTGGCCTAAAAAGTTGAGATCTCCAGCAAGATAGGGATTCAGGTCAGAGTGCAGAAACAAAACGGACCTTCACAGCAGTCCTGACCATAGCGCGTGACGTGCTTGTTCCTACCTGTATCGCCTTGCTGTCCTGCACACAGTCCTCATGCTACAGGCGCCGTACCTGCCAAGTACAGTGTCAGCAACACGTGGGCATCGCTGAGTGAGTTCCGCTGAAGAGAGCTGACCCACCCCGCTCTTTCCTTTGGGAGTCATCCGTGTTTGGACCTGAGAAGTGGAGTAGCTGCTAAGTTGACTTTGTGCCTGAGGGAGAGCATGCCTTTTTACCACATACCTCAGAATATCCTGTCACTCGTTCCTGGGGTGGGAACCCAGCCCCCAGGCCAGCGTGGCTGGAGCCGGCTCTTCCCCTCCCCAGGGCTCACTGCATTCTCCTTCCCTCCCTCCCTCCCTCTGGTTTATGACCCGGTGAAAAGCCGAGGAGTGTGCAAAGCATTTATCTCTTCCAATACAACGTCTGTCATTAAATCTATTACAAACTAGTTTCTCTGAACAGAGTGGGAAATGCTTGGTTACTTGTATAAAATATTAATTTTAGCAAAATTTTGTCAAAAAGATATAGAAACTTGGAAATAAATTTTCCTTGTCAGCACAAAGTGAGGTGGTAGTCCCTAAATTGTTAAGAGAGAATACCATGTATTTCCCCATCATTTCACATAGTAGTTTAAACGAAGCCATATTTATATTTATTTATAGGCATTTTAAATGAATACGAACGTGTATCGGCGGTAAAAATCAGTACCTGTAAAGATAACATAGGATCCAAAAGGAAACTGAGAAAGTGAAGAACTAGTGAGAACCAAAAGGATGAACCTCAGTAAGATTAACTGAAGCCGCGTGTGGAGAAGAAAAATGATCCGCAGATGTGCAGCCCAAGGATCCTGGCTCCTGATTGTGGACGTGGTGATCAAAGACAGCAGTAACCAGCCAGATCAGTTAGCAAAGTAACCAAGTAGTTTTTAAAAGTAAGCACAATCACAATGCTGAAAAGAATAGTTAAGGTGCAGAAATGCTTTCCTACTGAAGATTTTTTCCTTAGGTACAAAATAACAGCAAAGTTAAAAGGAGCAATAAATGGCCTTTGGCCTGAATTCTTCTTAGGGGTTGGCAGAAAACCTTGGATGACTCTTCCCAGTCAACTGACGTTTTATTAGATCCCTTGCACATGTCCAATATTGATTTTTTTTAAAAAAATTGGAAAACTTTGAGGAAACAAAGTTATTAAATAATTAAGACTCAGAAATGATAGCTATTTAGCCTAAGGAAGAGGAGTACAATAGTAACCTCCCAGAAAAGAGAATTGAACAAATGATAGAGCTATAGATACCATTAAGACTAGAATTAGGAAGTCTTCGGGGTGAAGGATTTATAATAACTCTAGGATGGAGATTTTAATAATGGAAAATTAATCATCAGCATTGGTAATTATAAGGAAGCTCTGTTTTCTGAAAATGGAATATTGTTGGTGGTTTAGCATTAAGTGGTAAGATATCTTTAAAATAATGTATTCTGCAAGCCTATAATCCTGTTTTTTTATTTTTAAAATTAAAAAGAACGTTCTGATTAGTTATAAATATTCTAGCCTTTGAAATAGGATAGCAGTTTTAACTTCTCCAAGATTTTTTTAAAGGATTGTTGATTTTATTTTTTCCTTCTAGTTAGATATCATCATATCCTTAAAGTTGCCCAGAGTGTAGCCATTTTACTGTAAAAACCGCATCTTTGAGTCTAAAAAGGAAATGTCCTTAGAAATAGTTGAGAAAGGGAAAGGTACGCAGTCCCTTGTGCAGGGAGAAGGCATGTGGCAAATGCCTCCTCACTTTTATCTCTACTGAAAAGGATCTTCAATCTTTACCGTTCGCTTTTTCTGCACGGTGGACAGTATGCTTGTACAGCGAAGACCTGCTGCTCCAAACCAGCCTGCGACCCTGGTCCAATAAATTAGCGAAGAATATGGAAATGCCCCAGTACACCGTGTTAAATAAGATCCTTTTCAGGTCTCCAGTAAGGGTTATGAAACATGAAAATGGGGAGATAAAATTATTTTCTCCTGGGATAGGAATATAGAATTTTATTGTCATAATCAGCCAAGAAGTAGAATCTTGTCTGTCAGAAAGTTGCATTAGGGGAAGCTGGTCCATTTCCAGTAGGGACCTCAGCTGCCTCAGCCTGCGGGTGCCACAGGAGGGTACATTAATATTGCAGATATGTCTAAGTTTAAAAGAAGCTCTTAGCACTCGGGAGGCTGAGGCAGGAGGATCGCTGTGAGTCTGAGACCAGCCTGGGCTACATAGTGAGTTCCAGGTCAGTCTCAACTATGTAGTGAGACCCTGTCTCAAAAAACAAAACAAAACAACAACAAAAGAAGCTCTTAGATTAGTGAGTTCCAGGTCAGTCTCAACTATGTAGTGAGACCCTGTCTCAAAAAACAAAACAAAACAATAACAACAAAAGAAGCTCTTAGAGTGAGATGCACAGTTTTAAAAGCTTTGCTCTTTTTTTTGTTGTTGTTGTTTATCTGTTGAGAAACCAGATAATCCTGGTAATTAAGATTGCAGAAAATGTGCGGTTTGGTTTTCAAATAAAGGGAACATGATTTTACAGGAAGCTGTCAAACTGGAGTTATGATAGTGTGATCAGGGATGATACCACTGCATAACTTTTTACCTTGAATTGGATTTCTGTGGACACACAAGGTAAGCCCAGCTCCTGAGCGAGCCTTTCCATTGTGCGCAATAGCGTCTGGAATTAAATTCACCTTTACCTAAGTGTCAGAGTGACTGCCACAGTCCCTGGCATCCGCAGCATGATCCTGTTATGTTAATAGCTGGTTTTCCCAAGACATCTCTTTCATCAACTAAAAGAGGTATTTAGTATTAAGATATGTTCCCCCAGTGGAGGATTTTCTGGAAGTGTTATTCTATTTAAGAAGAGGAGGAGGACCAACAAATTGCCTTTCATGTAAGGCAAGAGTACAATGTAATATGCTTGCATGAGATAGCACACGCAGGTAAGCTTTTCTACATCCATACTGCGGGTCTTGGAGGTCTTATCTCTCTTGTGTCTCCACTGGGAATGTCCAGACATCACCCTACACTCGCTCTCCTCTCCTCATTGAATGCATGGCTCTTATTCTCACTGCATTTTTCTTGCTTTCCTCTTGCAGTCCTCATAGACTGCTGAGCCAGATCACTCCTGAGAGTGGAGTTTGATTACTGTGGGACACTTGTCGGGAGTTTACTTTTATCTCTGTGTTCTTTTTAGAATTATTCTGACCATTATGGCGCTATAATGGAAACGGAGAAGTTAATCTGATACTTCAGTGTGACTGTATGCTTTTCTTTTCAAATGGTCATTGTAAAAAATAAAGGTCAAAGGGCCAGGGATTTAGCTCAGTGATTCTGCCACCTGCCTTGCAAGCGCAAGGACCCGAGTTCGATCCCCTGTACCAAAAAATAAATAATAATAAAATAAAAATTAAAATAATAAAGGTCAGAGAACAATATAGGAAAGGGAAATGTCATCGGTGTGTTCCAAAAGAAACATTCAGTGATAAGGGAAATACGGAAGGAAGCATCTTTGGATTTGTAGAAAATGATTGTTCGGCGGGCGAGTCGGAGAGGAAATACTTCATTTGGGCATATTGCCGCAGAGTTTTTAGGCTAAGCGGTTTGAATATTTAAGAGTCGGTCAATTCTTTGAAAATCTTTTGTGACGGTTTTGTATTCTACTCAGTGTTTTCATTTGCACGATTATGCATATGTGGGGAACCGAGCACAACTCTGGTGGTGCTGTATTTCTTTGCGGTGTTAACATTCGTGTCACGTGTGGCCAGCCCTGATTTGTACACTGTATGATTATTGTTGTATCGAGTCAGCTCTTCCTACATTTTAATTGCAGTTTTACTGTTACGCCTTTTGGGGCTAAATGATGTGAAGTGTTTCCACCTCGTGATAATACCATATGAAAACATAACTAAAAGACTGATTTAAAAAATGTTTCTGTTAATTATTTTTAAAAATCCCAATTTCCAAGGAAGCATTCTCAAAGACACAAGCATTTATTTTAAATTCCAACAAAGTTCTTATGAATCTAGTATTACTTGTTGTTCTTACTTTTTTATTGTAGACAATCCTCAGTGAGTGTCTTGTGGGAGAACTGTGTAAGATGTGCTCGTATTTGTGAGATCTGACCATGCACCGGTGGTTGGGAAAGCTGAGAAAGTAACCAGAAGCCGATATATCGATTCTTATATCTTGGTTTATGTTACTAACTGAATATCATGTCATGCATAACTTTTTCCAGTGAATAAATCAGTTGTCTTTGGCTCATTTCATCAGGACTACTTTTTCTCAGCGTAGCAGTTTTTCTGTATGCTGTCGTAATTTATACTCATACCAAAGGAAAAGGTGAGGAAGATGAATGATAGGCCAGCGGTGTAGCTTGGGTTGTGCCCTTGCCTGGAATTGGACAGGCCCTGGGTTTGACCCCCAGCACCTCAAAAACAAAAACACAAAACACAAAACTGAACGGTTAACTATGACATCGCTTTGGCGTGTTCCTAGTAAGCGTTGTTAGCAGCTTTGCCCATTCTCTCCATTTATCGCCTCTCTTACTTGTAGTTTCTAAAAGGCTGTTCGGCCGGAAATGTACCAATATGAAAATGCCCGCTCTGAGAGGGGAAACGCTATTCCTGAAGAAAAATGCAGCTTGCGTGTTTTATCTTTTGAGCCCATCCTTTGGGGTCTTTTATGTGGAAGAAGAGCACAGTCCCAGAACTTTTAAGGAAGTGAATTTAGTGACTCTTCCTATGAACACATATGGTAGTAAATGGTCTGCTCTGATTCGATTTTATTTCAAGGGTCGGGTAGAGGAAAACCACAGAGAACATGGACTCAGGGAAGACTCTAGTGAGTTGAAATCTCTAATGCAGTCCTTGTTACTGCCAGGCAGACTTCCCCACCATGGTCCAACATTCCTAGTTAAACTCACCTGCTTACCTGTTTTTTCCCCAAAAAGCTGTTGGGTTGTTTTGTTCTGTTTTAGTTTTTTTTTTGTTGTTGTTGTTATTATTTTTAATACAGGGGATTGAATCCAGGGAGCACCGCACTACATGCTCGGCCCTTTTTTATTTATTTTTAGACAGGGTCTCACCAAAGACAGGGCTTGAATTTGTGATCCTCCTGTTTCAGCCTCTCAGAGTGCTGGGATCACAGGCATGCACCAGCAAGCCCAGCTTGTGAATCTATTCAGAAGTTAACCTCTTACACAGTAATACCAGTGCTGTGTCACACTTAAAGAGTAGAAAAACTGGATCAGCCTCCAGAAGCATCAAGAAAATCTCTTCTCAAGCCATTTGTAGTAGCACTTGCTTATAGTCCCAGCAACTGGGGAGCCTGAGGCAGGAGGATGGGCGTGATGAGACAAATAGGAAGGGACGGAGGGTGAGGCACCATGTTGTGAGGCAAGGTGGGAGGTGGCTTCAGACCCACCAGGATGGAGGAAGAGAGCAGAGCTGATGGGAATCTGTGGAGCGCCTTTGTCTGCATTCTCGCTGTACACATTTACTAATGCCCTGGCAGAACGGGAGGCATTCTGAGCCACAGAAGTTCCTGAGAGTGGCTCCTTTATTCTAACTTTTTTTCTGGTGACACTGGAACTGAGCTCATCAAATGAATGTGATCTACTGTAATTACAGCAGGTGCTGAGTACCACCTTGTTGGCAGAAATGGCCTTGGAATTAGGTGAGTGGTTATTCCTATCATACTTTCTTGGTGAGTTGAAAAACTAGACCTCTAAGATTATGTTAGAAGGAGCCTTAAGGTGTATGATGAAGTCAGCGGACAGTTGCTTCTTTAGCAGTTTATGAACCGAATGCACTTGAATGCTTATACAGGAACCTCAGAATACTTCATCTACAACATAACAGTTCAGAAAGACAAATCTCTCTGGGAAGAATAGGGACAGTGTCCATAGTAGATGCAATGTATAATAAATGTAGGTGTAGAAGGCAATATAAAAATAAGTCAGAGGGCCCAGGGATTTAGCTCAGTGGTTCTGCCACCTGCCTTGCAAGCACAAGGACCCGAGTTTGATCCCCAGTCCTAACAAATAAAATAAAAAATAAAATAAGTTAGAACTATAGGGCAAATTGTTATAGCAAAGAAATGTTACATTTCTTTATTTTTCTTTATTTGTATTTCTTTGTTTTCTTTATTATCTATGTTAGTGAGGATAAAAGAAGGATAATTCAGTAAGTTAACTTCTGTTACTACTAAAGTCAAGTGAGGGCAGACCAATGTCTAGTTCATAACTGTATTAGTTATTTTCTTATTGCTAGGACAACATATCTGACAGCCACAAGTTAAAGGAAGAAAGGTTTATTGTAGCTTGTAGTTTATAGAGGCTTCAGTTCATAGTTGGCTGCTGGCAGAGGGGAGTTGCAGAGCAGAAACAGTCCACAGCAGGCAGAAGGCAGCAAGCCTTCCTTTTCCTTTTTATTCCACCCAGGCTACAAGTCTATTGGTCAGTGCCATTCACACCCAGGGTGGGTCTTCCCTCTTCATCATAAATCCATCATCCACACCCAGAACTATGCTAAGCCAATCATTGAGTAATCCACTATCACACACCCATGATCCAGTCACTCCCAAAAGCCCCACCTATGAGTGCATGAGGCTTTGGAGAGATAATCTAGATATAAATCATATCAATAACCCACAACAGAACTGTCTACAGTGCAAAATGGAAATGTGGACTCCTTGGCCAAAAACTTTTAAGAATTTTAAGACAGAGTAAAGAGTAGATCATTAAACCAAGCATGGGGTGTTTTCTTTGGTTTGGTTTTTTTGTTTTGTTTATTTTTGTTGTTGTTTTTGTGTGTGTTTTTTTTGGCAATACTGGGGATTAAGCCCAAGGCCTTCACAATGAGCTATATCCCTCCTCTCTTTTCCCCCTTGAGACAGGGTCTCACTAAGTTGCCCAGGCTGGGCTGGAATTTGCCATCCTGTCTCAGCCTCTCAGAGCTCCGGGATTACAGGTGTGTGTCACCATATCCAGTAAGTGAAGTCCTAGGTACAGGGTGCCACGTGAATGTGGAAGTCCACATGGCCATGAAGCCAGCCTTGCCTAGAATATGCTGAGGGATTGATGAAGACCTCCGCACTGACGGCTACTATCCAGAAACCTGGCTTTATTGTCAGCAGAAAGTCTCTGTCCTGGGGAGAACAAATAATGTGTTTATGTTCTAGGGGAAATTGTTAATGGTAGTACTTCAAAGAGTCAAAAGTTCAA